GAAAAGAGAAGGAACCCTCTCCTATTATGTGAGTGTCTTTTTTTAAGTTTTCTTCTTTAAATATCAAAACTTGAATTAAATTATCAAAATAAAACATTTGTAAATTCATTCTCTACGGGAATGCTTCATCTCCTTCTCTATGTTTTGTGCGTTGAATTTAGTTGGTTTTCTATATCCAATATTGATGACAACCTAGATCAGTGTATAATAGTTGGATAAAACTTTTCATGTTTTGTAGCTAACAATTTGGTTCTTCTCTGATAAACTTGCTCATGCAATCCTCATCGTGAGCAAGTGAAGATCTATCCATCGATGGAAGATGATATTTGATCAAAGATACATTAAAGAAGACTCGAGGAAAGTGAATTTTTGTCGTTGGTAACCTTATACATCGTCAATTTTGATTAGAATCTCAATGATCTAAACACTTATAAAAAACATGGTTTTCTACTCTTAAAACATGGGCTTTGATTGTTATAAGATCCAGAGGGTTTTACATGTAATGGACGACTTCGATGGAGGAACTATCATGTTAGAGGAGAAGCAAAAAAAGATGCAAGTGTAGAAAAACTTAAATAACATTGTCGTCAATGTTGTTTTTCTGCGCTCATGAATTATCTCTCACTTCTTTTATTGTCTTGAAAAAAATTGTTTAACCGTTAAGAAAAAAAATGGATTGGATCGAGAAAGAAAACATTGGCAAAGGAGGGGAGTAAGTGTTACTTGATCTTCGTTGTATAAGTATTACTTGCAAGTACCATCAACAAACTCCCTTCAGTTATTTCTCTATTTTTAATTAGTTCTTTAAGACTTGGAAAGTCAACACTCAAGCTCCACAAAATTTTAGATCATGCTCAAATTTGTTTTTTTTGTTGCAACTTCTGCAAAAATAATTGTTTGTTATTATCTTTCAAGTTAGTGAGATTTATTATGTACTATTTTCTTGCCATTTTTAAATTTAGAACAAGTTTTTTTTCTCAACGGAATAGTCATATATATCTGAAAAATTAGAAGAAAACATTTATAAGAAAGAAAATCAGCATGTATGCATATGTGAAAAAGAAAACCCGCGCATATGCGCGGGTATTGACCTAGTTTGAATTAAAAAGAAAAAAAAAGAGAGTGTAAAATTTATAGTTTATTGATATATATCAAAGACGAGGATATGTCTTCGGGTGGGTTTTGCATTTTATTGATGTAAAAATTGTTGAGAATTTTAGTTAAAATTGCACGTAGAGTTCTTTTGTTGTAGTTGCTTTCATGTGTTGGACATAAAATTGTTTTATCATAGATATAGTGTGTATATTCCGTCGTGGATAGGGCATTGTTGTCGTAAAATCGTATGTGGAGATATTTATTGTGATCGCATGACCATGTGAAGTAGCAACATATCATTTTATTTTTGGACAATTCATGATGTTTCATGATGGGTTATATAGTTAGATTTGACCGACTGATCGTAATTTGTAATTAAATAAAAACAGATGTATTTGATTATGATGTGGAAAAAATATATAATATTTTCATACTTACGTCATATGCATAAACTGATTAGCGTTTTAAAAGTTGGTTTTTTGTATAATTTTGTGGAAGTAAACAGACTCATGCTCGTTTGACCCAAAAAAGAAGAAAGAAATTTCTCGTTGAGAAACCTTTATTTTTTTTCTTTTTTTTGCTAAAAGAGAAACTTTTTTTAATCTATGCGATTGGAAAATACCTTTCTTCCTTTTTTTTCTCTGGAATGAAATATATTAGATCAAACTGTTTGCATCAGGATTACATGACCAAAAACAGAATCCAAGACAATCACAATGCCTTAGGCAAAAGAGGTTTACG